GGGGGTGGTGGGAGGCCATGTGGGCACCAGGTCCTGCTCGCCCACATGGCCTGTGCTGGCTCCACGAGCTGTGTGCTGCCATGGCCTCGTGCATCATCTCGGCCACTGACAGGAGTGGGATGAAGCCCAATCAGCAGCAGCCCCAGCATCAGCCCATGGCCCCTCTGCGCTAGCCACACAGAGGAGCTCTGGCTGCCCTGCTTGGTGAAGCAGCACTGGGCACAGGCAGCTCCCTGGTCCCACCAGGCTTGGCAGGGTCTGCATCCCCCCAACAGGGATGGCTTACTCTGCTCCCACCAAATCCCCTCCTCTGCCTGGCCCCTACTGGCTGTTGGCAGCCCCCACAAACCCTGTGCACCATCCTGAAGAACCAAGCACTGGGATGACTGGGACTGGCGCAATATTGCCAGGGGTCAGGTGCCCCTGCCCCAGGCAGCATCAAGCCCTCGCTCCCTCCTGCCCCATCAGCTCCTCACAGAGCTGCACAGGGCCAAAGCCATGGCTGTGCCCAGAAGAGCTGTCAGCCCCCTTACACCCCACACTGCTCCAGAGAGACCAAGCAGAAGCCAGGTTCTCTGCTGTGGCCCCAGCAAGCATCTCCCACAGTTGATTTACCCCAGCAGAGCAGCCACCAGCCCATGCTGCCCAGGCACAGCCTCTGTGAGGGACAGCAGATGGGGCAGCCCCAAGCCCTTGGGCCCTGCAGAAACCTCCTGCCCATCTCACAGGCCAGGATGTGCAAGTGCAGCCTGGCAGGCCACTTGTTCCAAATCACCAGCTCCAGTGACACAAATTCGGCCCCTCCATGACCCTCAACCCTTCGGGCACTCCATGCTCAATGCATTCACCTCCCCCTGCACCACCTGGAAGTGCAACCCTGGGCTGTGGCTGCTCTGGGCTCGCTCCAGGGCAGAGTCATTGCAGGGGCAGGTGCAAGGGCAGAGAGGTCATGGGGAAGCACAGAGGGATGTGGCAGGTGCTCCCCATGCAACAGAGCAGCGACCCCAGCCCGCAGAGCCAGGACCCCACACCATGCTCATGCTGATCCCCCTACTAGGGGCTGGGCATGAGCCTTAGGGCTCATCGGCTGCCCCAGTTCATACCCCCAGCACCGCAGGGCATCAGCCATCACCATGCCATCACATCTCTGTTCAGGGTCCACGCTGGACACAGCCCCTCCAGCCACAGTGGCTGGGAAAGGTCCCAGCAGCACTGGGGACCCCAGGCTCTCCCTGGGCTCCGCACACCCACAGGGATTGAGCTGG